GAAACTTTAATAAGTTGTACTTACGCACAATTTACTTGCAATCTTGAGTTTTAAGTAATATGCATTAATAAACAATAATTTATGCATAAAAAATAGTTTTTAAGAGTTTTTGTCAAATGGTTTATAATATAGTATAGAAAAAAGTAAATTAATAAAAAATAGTTTTTATTGATTTTGCCAAATACATTATACGGGCTTTGTTAGCCCAAAATGTAATTTATATTTTAGATTTTAGAATAGTTTAAATGGGCTTACTGGGCCTGTAGTCTAGGACCCAAGAAAACAAGAATGAACTGGGCTACATGGAACTCGAGCCTTTCGTATATATGCACACACCACAGTTTGTTCGTTTCTCGTACCTAGGGTTTCAACTTTCGAGCGAGCCTTCGTTGCAGTTTACTCCGGCTTCCATCAATGGGTAAGCTCTCAATTTTTATGTTTCGTTGATTTATTTCAATTATGTTGCCTGAGTTATTCCTCACATTATACTGGAATTACAGCTCGAATCAAAGTTCATGAGCTTAGGAACAAATCGAAGGTTGATTTGTTTGCTCAGTTGAAAGATCTCAAGGCTGAACTTGCTCTTCTCCGGGTCGCCAAAGTTACCGGTGGTGCCCCGAACAAGCTCTCCAAGATGTAATCCTCTATCTTTGCATCTATTAAATTAATATGTATTTATGTTTACGTTTGCAGTATTTTATCAAATGTACCGATTCAATTATTGCACAATATTATTGCTGCTATTCTCGTCACCGGATTGAAATTTGCTCCAAATGAATTGAAAAACGTCATTTTCTTGTACCAAATGCTTATGTAGTGGTATATCTCTTTGAAATCCTCTATTTGATGTGTGTAGAAGGCCGGATTATTTTCACGGCTGCCTGTTATTTGTTTTTTTTAATGTGCAAGAGCGCATACTTGATACTTGTATGAAGCTCTAGAACTGGGTATGTCTAATTTAGCAAATTCGTGTGTGATAGAGTTGTAGTTCATAGTAGTTTACTCTGTCTCTGCATTTGATGCTGCAGATGAATATTGTTAATCATTCTATAGTCATTGCTGTGCTAATTGTACCCTTTCATGCCTATTTATATCAATCCAGATTCCAGCATCATCGACTCTTTGTTTCATCTGAGCCTTTTTTAGATTACAGATTTTCTTTTTGTGTATGCTAAATTTAGAACTTTTAGACATGATTATGGCTCCATATTTTAGATCATAGTTGTTTGAAATGTTACAGTGATCTGCCCTTTGTTACCATTTATGATTTCTGGCACTAATTATTTTTGTAGCTTTAAAGTATAGTGCTCTTAAGCTTTATTGCATTTTGTTGGCTTCAGTTCATGGGCTTGTGGTTTTAGTGTTGTTGTTTTTGGATGATTTCTAACTCCGGTGCTTGCAGAAAGGTGGTGAGGACATCAATTGCACAAGTGCTGACTGTGATTTCACAGACTCAGAAGTCAGCTCTCAGGGAAGCCTACAAAAACAAGAAGTACCTGCCTCTTGATTTGCGTCCAAAGAAAACCAGAGCCATCCGCAGACGTCTAACCAAGCATCAGGTACCACTCGATGGCTCTTTCACTCATATCGTGCTAACATTTGCTATTATATAATTCTTATATTGTCTGTGGCAAGTGATACAAATGCCCACAAATGTGTTGGGAAGGTTCCATAATAACTTGAAAGACAAAGCAAATCTTCTTTATAGATATAACAATTACATCATGTCCAGTTTTCGGATAGATATCGTGGGAGTGTACTCATGGAGTCAGAAGTTGGAGTATTGTTGATGATTTAATCTGGGTTATATACCAAGTTACTGATAACATGTCGACTACTTCGTTTTTTGACCAGTCACTCCTATGCTTGCATCGTTGCACCAGATTTCTTGGATTACTGTTTTTTTCTTCAAATAGATATATTTTCTGAGTTTGCTCTTCTGTGATGTAGGCTTCATTGAAGACTGAAAGAGAGAAGAAGAAGGAGAAGTACTTTCCTTTGAGGAAGTATGCTATCAAGGTGTAAGGTGGGAACTATGAAGGAGGAGATTTAAGTTGTGGTGTGTAAATCTCTTTCCAGTTTTGAACTCATAGTTTGTGTACGATTAATCAGAGATCATGCGTTCGATAGTTTGTCTGCATTGAGTTAAAAGACAGTTAACATCGGAGCTTGCTCTTGATGTTTGCATACCTATTTGACTTGTTTCATCTTTTTTAAAAAAGGCATCTACATTTGTGGTGTTGATTTGCATTATGCATTTCTCGTTAATCTCTGTTGTATCGATTCGTTTCTTATGAAAGCAAAGACTTTGCTCTGACAATGTTTTGCATCGACCTTTTGTACTAAAGGTACTAGATATCGGGTTACAAAATACTATCGGTCATCGATATAGCGGGAGCCTGTGGTATGATAAGAAGGTAGTTCGTGATGTACCCTTTATTGCTCTTCAATAAATGTGTTCAAGAATGTAGTGTTGATGGTAGAAAAACATTGAATGTATCATCTAAACATGAAAAAAATTATGTTTAGTTGTCACATGAAGTTAAAGTTAAAGCCAATCATCATCTAATTTTCTTTTCCGCCATTTTAATTGGTTTTCAAACCAAAAGATATGGGTTAATAAAAAAAACCGTGTGGCCACGAAGGTTTAAAACTTTAAATGCGGTGATTTCGGGCTATCCTTGAAGTGGGTGGTCACCTTGAGATTAGTCAGCTTACACAGCGAATTGACTATCAAGGTTAATAAAAAGAAATTAAAATTATTTGTATTTTAGGAGAGTTTGTAATTACGGTAGAAATGATGCTACTATATAATAAAATATTTGACAAAAACTATTAAAAATCATTTTTTTATTAACCTGAATATCCAATCCGTTATGCGAGCCGACTAATCCTAGAACGACACCTGCTTTGCAGATAGCCCAGAGTCATCGCATTTGAACCTTCATGGCCACAAGAGGATTTTTATTCCTCCTTGTATTTGAACCTGAGACCTTCAGATACTTTTGATCTTTGGAGTGAAGCTCAAACCAACCAGACACTACCCTTGTAGTTAAAAATCATTTTTTATACATAAAGTATTGTTATTGATGCATATTACTTAAAATTCAAGATTACAAGTACATTACGTGTAAATACAACTTATTAAAGCTTTATTTTTGAATTTATATAACTAACTGATAAATAAACATAATCAAATACGAGATAAACGTCTCATTTTAAATATAAAATATCTAAAATATATTAGGATAATCATTAGTTATAACAAAATATTTAATTATTTTTTCATAGAAAATTATATTATTTAAACGAAAAATAAATTACTTCGTT